GGAATGCCAGAGGCATGGTAGATTACATCCACTGCAAAAATTCTTGGGAGACAGAAAAGACTGAACATGGAAACCTTTCCTGAAAAGTGATAACTAAACTGAGACTGAAAGGATGGGAAGTATCTAAAAAAGTGAAAGGGCAAAGCTGTGCTAAGGTTCCGTGTCCTCTCCAAACGTCATGTTCAAATTCATGGCATTGGGAGATGGGGCCTTTAAGAGGTGATCTGACTCAGGAGTGGGTTAATTAATGTGAGAGTAGCTTTGTTATCGATGTGAGTTGGAATTGGCTTTCTTTCTCTTGCTATTCAACATGCTTGTTTGCCCTTCCATCATATTATAATGTAACAAGAAATTCCACACCAGATATGGTCCATCCATCTTGAACTTCCCAGTCTTCAGAACTGTGAGTTGAAAAAAATACTGTCATTTATAACTTACTGAGTCTGTGTGGTATTCTGTTATAGAAGTAGAGAATGGATTAAAATAGGCTGGAAGTTATCTTATTGACTACATTCTCATATCAGGAAAACAACCCAGGAAGAAGTAAATTTCTCAGGACTACTTAGTTGTTAACTAGCAGAGCTGGTATACAAATTGTCCAGCCTAGTTTTAAATGTTATACTCAATTTAATTCACTTTCATAAGCTGCATTTCTTCAGTTGTTAAGTTGTAGTGAATTTAGTGCTCAGTACAATGATTATAAAATAATAATCAATGGTATTAATTCTGTCATTATCATTTTCACTAGACTGTAGAAAGTATGTCCATTGTATGCATTAATAAATACAAGGGCTTTTCCTGGCATGTGACAAATGCTTTATATGAATGAAGAAATTATTGAGAGAATGAAATGAAAGAATACAAAGGAAGTTCAAGCATAAAATGCAAGTAGCTTCTTAATAAATGCTAGTTCTTCCCTACTACCATCTCAGTAAGGCAATCACTTTAAACATTATAATTCCATGTTGAGTATGCATGAATATCTTTAAGTGTCATTTAGTATTGGTTCAATCTACACTTAATGACTAATGGTTGTCTAATATGTATCTTTTGATGATAGATTAGACCTGTTCAACTAATACAGTGACCATTCCCCAATTGAGGTAACAAAATAAGGAGAATTTATGTATGAAAGACATACAGTAGGCCTGAGCACAGGACCTCAGAGTTTTCCTCTGGAGAAATACCTATAAATACTTGAAATTATTCAGATGTTCTAAAATATTAAGATGTTTTTAGATTCTTGTAATATATTTGCATTTCCCTGATTTTCTTCTGATGTTTTGGCTCTTCCATAAGCAGATAGCAACTATATTTTCCATATTTATTTTGGAGAGAGAGAGAGAAAAATACAGATTGCATCTGCTGTTCACTCACTAAATACCCACAATGATCCCAAAATTTGGGGCCAAATCTTGGAACAGGGAAATCAATCCAGTTCTCCCACATGGATGTCAGAAACTCAATTACTTCAACCATTGCTACTGCCCAGGGTTTGCAATAACAAGAATCTGAAGCCAGGAGCTAGAGCTGAGAGCTAAGTACTCATTGGTATGCTATGCGGGCATCTTAACTGGTGTCAACCATCAGGCCAAATGCCTACTTCAGTATCTGGTTTCTCATGGATGTGTAGTTGTGTTGTGAGCGAAGAAGCCCTGGAAAGTTCTTTGCCTTTTCTGTATTACAGTAAACAGCATCATCCTAAAGCCCTTATGCAGAGTGGATGCGGTTGTCATTAAGTGTCTGTTGACATAGTCACAATATTCATATTAGAAACAAGTCTGATCATTTATACCAAGAAAAACTCATTGAGAGCTGAGATTTGCTAAATGCCCCCTCTGATATTTGCTACCAATCCCCATGGATGGAAACTAAAACATTTAATCTAAACCTGAGTGATAATATTTTCATTGACTTCATGAAAGTGCCACAAACAGTGAAATAAAACACCTCTCAAGTATCATTTTCATTCACCTTTCATTTAACAATGAGCTCCTGGGGAGATTCAGGACACCCATCAAGTGAAATAATTTATATCAATAAAATTTCTGAAGAAATCATCACTCTATAGAAGTCACATTATTTGATTCTCATATAAGTTATCTGGTTGGTGTTGCAGTCAATGCCAATCTATTTTAATGATGATAACCCTTTCCCATTGCTAACTGTATTCGGATTCCTCATCTCATTTAATTCCTGTAGGCAAAATCCTACCACAAGCTAAAGATGCCAGTATAAGTACAAAATCCCTAGCAATCCTTCATTTTTAAAAAAATGTGGCCATTAAAAGCCAACAGGTGGGTGAAAAAATGCTGAATATCACTAGTAATTGGGAAATTCAAATTAAAAATACAATAAAATATCGCTTCACATCTGTCAGAGCAGCTACTATCAAAAAGACAGGAGACAAAAGTGCTGGAGAAGAGAAAAGGGAACCATAGAATACTAACAGTGGGACTGTAACTATAGCTGATGCGTAAAAAAAAAAAAAAAAAAGTCCCTGAAAAAAAATAAAAATACAACTACCACTTGATCCAGTAATCTTATTGCTGGGTATTTATCCAAAGAAAATGAAATCAGCTTGTAAAAGGGTTTATCTGCCCTCCCATGTTCATTGCAACACTATACACTATAGCCAAAATGTGGAATCAACCTAAGTGTCCATGAACAGATGAATGGATAAAGAAATGTGGCATGTATGTACAATGAAATACTATTTAGCTTAAAAAAAAAAAAAGAAAAAAAATCCTGTCATTTTTAGCACCACAGGTAAATCAAGAGGATGCTAGGCTATGAAATAAGCCAGACACAGAAAAACAAATACCAGCTACCAGCTGTTTGTTACTTGTATGTAGAATCTGAAGCAACCCAACTCACAGAAGTAGTTGTGGAATAGTAACCACCAAAGACTGGGTGTTAGTGGCAAATACATGATGGTCCAGCGATACAAAATTTCAGTACAAAGAAGTTCAAGAGATATATTTACATCAAGGTGACTATAATTAATGATAATATTAACATCGTGTATCTGAAAATTGAGAGAATAGATTTAAGTATTCTAATCCCAAAAATTAATGAACTCATGCTATCCATTCCACAATGTACATATTTGTCAAACACCATATTGCACTGCAGAAATATTTGATTTTTGGCAGTCAAATAAACATTTAAAAATAAAAATTCATAAATTTGGTAAGACCAAAAAGTGCTCCTTAAAATTTGACAATTCTGGAGCCGACGCCGTGGCATATTAGGTTAATCCTCTGCCTGCGAAGCCTGCATCCCATATGGGCACCGGTTCTAGTCCCGGTTGCCCCTCTTCCAGTCCAGCTCTCTGCTGTGGCCTAAGATAGCAGTAGAAGATGGCCCAAGTGCTTGGGCCCCTACACCTGCATGGGAGACCAGGAAGAAGCACCAAGCTCCTGGCTTCGGATCGGCGCAGTTACGGCCATTGCAGCCATCTGGGGAGTGAACCAATGGAAGGAAGACCTTTATCTTTGTCTGTCTCTCTAACTGTCTGTAACTCTACCTGTCAAATAAATAAATAAAATATATTTTTAAAAAATTTACAGTCTGTTCATTTGAAACAGTTCTGCCTGTGCCAAAGGGCTCTCCTGAGGTTAGTTTCCAGGGACATAGTTTTGATATCCACACGGGTTGGTAATTTCAAACCTGGGGCTTTGCACAAAATGCTCCAGTCTGTTTTTTTTTTTTTATTATTATTATTACATTTGTCTATAGTTCAGTGATACATTCAATTTGAGAATGATTATAAAATGGAAATGAGCATTGAAAACAGGCAAATGTATGCTGAATACTAAAGAGATATTGGAAGGCTGGGTTGTACAAAACACATTGTATTTAAGGAGATGATGTGAAGGATTAATTTTTATTTGCTTTTATCTTTGCAAATCGGTGACAGTTGATTATTCAAAGAAAGTTTGCAAATTTGCTAATTAGGGCATTTGTCTTTCATTTGTGTATTACCTATAGGAACACCTGAATAAACATTAAGGGTCATTATGCTTTACAGAATAAATTATACATCAGATCTGCTCAAAGTAGAGATTACTTAAAAGAAAGTTTGATAAATAATTCCTCCTATCTAGAGCCTGACCTACTTGTCCTAGAGATTCCATTTGTTCTTAAAGACTTGGATTCTACTGGTTTCACTTGTCCCTCCTATAATATTGCTTCTTTTTCTCATTGGATCGTTACCAGCAGTACACCAATCTCTTACATCAACTACAAAATTTCCCATTGTAAAACAACCTCATATCCATATCCAAACTACTCTTCTGCTTCTCCTCCCAGCAAAAATTCCCTTAGGTGTTGTCTATGTTGTCTTTCCACGTTTTCCCTTCAATTTTCTCCTGAACCCTCTTCTAGGTATCCTTTCCTTCCCATGGGGCACTTCCAGTGAAAATAATTGAAATACCTGTAGCAGTGGCAAGCATGACAACAAATCCTAAGTTTAATTCATAGTTCACACCCAACCACACTTACACAATCTATTACTCGCTCCTTCTTGCAACATTGCCTTCACTCAGCTCTTCAGGTAGCACAGCTTCAAGGCTTTTGTCCCATTCACTGGCAAGTCTTTGTGAATCTTCTCTTTCTGACCTTTTTCTCCTGTTTCTCTTTAGTAGGTCTCAGGCTCTACCTGCAATCACCCCCCTCCCCCCGGAAGTCTCATCAAACCCTGGGCTTTAAATACTATTCATATGCTTCTAGCACCCAAAGTTACAACTCCCGATGCAGTATTTCCTAAGTTCTCCATCCAAGTAATACAAACATGAAAGCCGTTTAAAACCGCCAAGATTTCCTTTGCTCTTCTGTGAGGATTTCACCACCCAGGCCTAATTAGGTCTGCACCTAGGAATCTAACCTCTCTCCACAAATAATTAATCTAGAAATAATTCCTGTAAGCCTGTATAGAATCCAAACACATCTCAAATCTCTTTACTGCCTCTGTGGCACACGCCATCATCACCTCTTACCTGAATTTCACGTAGAGATGCTCATCTGGTTTCTCCATGTTTCCTTTTGTCTTCTACAGTCTTCACCACTCAGAAGCCAAAGAAAACTTTAAAAACATAGATTACCTTTTATTTTTAACTTAGTATTTTATTATTTTCAGACAATATAGTGATTTTTTAAGTTTAATGTCCCACTAAATAAAGTGTTCAGGAAATGAAAAGTAAAAGATCATAGTACAGCAGGAAAATAAGAAAGGGCTAGATACAATCATCAAATGAAAAGATGTTAATTTCACTCAAATAAAGTAAATTTTAAAATAGTCACAGATCACTAAAACCACAGTAGTATATAATTCCTAATAATTTGACAATTATTTGAAACAAAGATTGACAAAACACCATATCTGAGCAAAACTGACACACAGGGGTATTTTTTGTTGTTGTTTGTTGATTTGTTTTTCTTTGATTTTAGCTCACAGATATAAGGGAGGATGTGTGCTATTTGTCCTTCTGTGTCTGGCTTTTTTCACTCAACACAATGTGCTTCAGTTCTACCTATTTTGATGTAAATGTATATATTTAATTCTTGACTCAAAATCCTCCAACAGCTTCTTGCTATCATACTTGGCACAAAATCCAAACTTTTTTTGTAACAGTAAAGGTCTTAAAACATCTGGCCCCATTTATATCTCTAGCCCCCTCACCACTCTCCCTGGCCCTTTACTCCGCCACTTGGGTACCAACACCATTCATCAAGTCTACCACAGTAAGTTCCACTTTAGGATCCTTGTGCAATGATTAATTTTATATGTCAACTTGACTGGGCTAAGGGTGCCCAGAAAGATGGTAAAGCAAATCTCCAGGTGTGTCTGTGGGGGTGTATATTTTTAAGATTGATTTATTTGAAAGTCAGAGTTACACAGAGAGAGAAGGAGAGGCAGAGAGAGAGAGAGAGAGAGAGGCAGAGAGAGAGAGAGAGAGAGAGTCTTCCATCTGCTGGTTTACTTTCCAATTGGCTGCAATGGCCAGAGCTGCATTGAACCGAAGCCAGGAGCCAGGAACTTCTTCCAGGTCTCCCACGTGGGTGCAGGGGGCACCCAAATGGGATGCTGGTACGGCAGGAGGTGGCTTTACCTGCTAAGCCACAGCGCCAGCCCCACTAGGATTCTTTAAATAGCAAGCTTCCCTAGCAAATAAGGCAGGAAACAATATTTACTGAGTGTCCACTGGTGTGCAGGTATACTACCTATTTCAGGCTCATTATCTCAGTGAATCTTCCAGACTTGTGAAGATACAGTATCCCTCCTACTTAGTACTCATAAATGGCCCAGGTTTATAGTTATAGTTTCCTAGTAGCCTAGCAATAGTGAATAGTGACATAAGTTTTCTCATTGATATCTGATTCCAAAGCTAGTCTTCCCAATATACCATTCATTTTTTCTAATATATGTTATAATATAAACTGAGTACAACTTAATTGCCAATCTCTCTGCCTGGAAAGAACTTTCTCCCTATTCTCCCATAGTCCTCACTTGCTCTCTGCTTCACTATCAGTTCCTCAGAAGGACCTCTCCAGTCATCTTCTATAAACCAGCACTCATTCTACCCCCTGGGTAGTAAAGGGTTAGCCCTTTACTCGGCTTTATTTTTTTGCACTGCATTAATCCATGTCTGAAAACTTGGCATGTATTTATTGATGAATGTATTTGTTTTACTTCTCTCCAAAGTGAATGGAATTCTTCAGAGAAGGGACATAATTGTCTTATTCACATTTGTATCCATAACAACCAAAACACTGACTGATACATAATAGACATTCAATAATAAAATATTGAATGAAATAATAACTATGTATGATTAGGAAAATAATTGTTTTCTTATCATACTTTAATTCATTATTACATACATTTTAAAATAACAGATAAAAAAGAGGAAATGTTGTACAGAAACTAACGTTCAAAGTCATTTAAGAAATAATTTTAGTTTAAGATTTTGAATAAAGGCAGAACTTGAAAAAATATATTAACATATATCCATTTGGATGATGAAATAAGAATATCAAAGACAATTTTTAAAAAGAAGGAGATTGAAGGGCTGTGTAGAAATGAAGCTGAAGTGGGAAACTGGTCTCACAAAATGCTGAAATGTATTTAAAACTACAATCATTTGTAATGTGATGCTACTAAAAATGTAACACAGAGATCAATAGAACACCTGCAAGAGTTACGAAGGAACCCACAGTCTATACACAATTTAGTATAGTCTCAAGTGAGTATCGCGTCAATAAAATGAAAGATAAATAATTTTAAATCAGAATAGATAAATCAGATATTTGCAAAAATTGTGATTAGGTCTTAAGCCAGAACAATATAATAAAAACAAAATTCCAGACCAACCAAAGAGATATTATTAAAAGTAAATTGTATACCTGCACCTGCATGGGAGACCAGGAGGTAGCACCTGGCTCCTGGCTTTGGATTGGCACAGCGCTGGCCACAGTGGCCATCTGGGGGGGTGAATTAACGGAAAAAAAAGACCTTTCTCTCTGTCTTTCTCTCTCTCACTGTCTAACTCTGCCTGTCAAAAAAAAAAAAAAAAGTAAATTGTATAAAAAACATGAAAAAAGTAGATGATTCCAATAACTCTTGGGGTGAGGAAAGCCTTTATACAAATGGTGTTTACAGAAAATAAAAGTTACATTAAAAAAAACAAAGCCACTTTTGAATATTAAGAAATATAAACAAATGAAAAAGGCAATTCTCAAACTCCTACAAGTCAATTGGCTATTCAATAAAATAAGAAAAATCATCCTACTTTATAAATTACGATATCTAACAAGCATTTGATAGATATTCAATAGGCCATACTTATCAATAGTAAATATTAAAGGAAAGCATTAATATTTTAACAGAAAACACAAATGACAAAAATAAGAGCTTAGTGAGTGGTCAAAATATACAAATAAATGAAATTTAAAACCATGAGCTAACTTTTTCTGAGTAATTTCTTGAAAAAATCTTAACAGTCAAACACTATTTTCAGAGTATTGCTGATAATGTGAACTGGTTCAGCTTTTCTCAAATTTATTTGGTAATATTCTGTATTTCAATTAATCTGAGCGTAAGGTGTAACACAATATTAAGTTCCACTAAAATTTTGGCAAACTGTAATATGCTATCAATTATAAAACATACATGTGAATTTTAGAAATGATGATCTATAAAAGATAGGCATTATAGTGTAGAATCAGAATAAAAATGGAGTGAGCGTGGTTAAAAGCTAATTGCAGATCTCTTGCTTCTGCACATATTAGCTTTGTTTGCTAATGACTAAGGGTGTATCTTGTGAAACTATGTGGGCCCAAATTCCCAGGAACTAAGTTGACGGAAATGTGTCCTTCACTGTTATCTTACAACCATATCTTGGATCTGTTACTGGGTTTGTTGTTGTTAACTGTTACCTTACAACCATATTTTGGTTTTCTTTTTATTGTTCACTGCATACCAGGGGGGGTCTGGTTTGAAATTGTGAGCCCTAGTAGACAGAATACTATAAAAAGATGTGTAACCCGCTGTTGGGGGCCACACTCTGGTAAGGAGTGTCGATCCTGATGGGTGGCCAGTCCCAGTCGATTACTTTGCCTCTCATTTGTCTCTCATTTGTTTCTCATTTGCTTCTCATTTTCAATAAAATTCATGTGTGACTGTCACTGGTTTTTGTAATACTCTATTTTAGCTGACTAGTGGATGCAACAATAGCATGATTATTTTTTTAAAAAATCAAATTCATGTATCCACTAATTTCCAAAGAGTTGGTACACTCAATTGAATGGTGACTCCCCAAAAGTTGTGCTATCAAGACAAGATCATCTTGGATTATCCAGGTGACCCCTATCCAATGACCAGTGTTCTTATAAGAGAATACATGGGAAAAGATATGCAGAGAAAAGAGGGAAGGCCATAAAAAGATGTAGTCAGAGTTTGGGGTTAATGTAGCCACAAGATAAGGAGCAATCAGAAACTGGAAGTGGTGAGGAATGGATTCTCCCCCATAACCCAGAAAGGAAAACAGCCCTGCCTACACCTTGATTTGGACTTCTGGCCTCCAGGAATAATTTTTGATTGTATGTTTGTTTGCATGTTTTTTTTTTTTTCCTTAAGATTTAGTTTATTTATTTGAAAGGCAGAGTTACAGAGGGAGAATGAGAGAGAGCTCCTCCATCTACTGGTTCACTCTCCAAATGGCTGTAATGGCCAGGCTACAGCCAGGAGCCAGAAGCTTCCTCCAGCTTTCCCACATGGCTGCATAGGCCCAAGCACTTGGGCCATCCTTCACTGTTTTCCCAGGTGCATTAGCAAGGAGCTGGATCTGAACTGGAACAGCTGGGACTCAAACCTGTGCCCATATGGGATGCCAGTACTGCAGGTGGTGGCTTAATCTGCTATACCATCACACTGGCCCCTCTTTGTATGTTTTAAGCCACATGTTTGCAATGATTTATTACTGTAGTCCCAGAAATCTAACATGAGAGGGGTGTATCCAAGCATTTTTTAAAGCAGTGAGAAAATACGAGTGAATAAATGAAAATGCTGGGGCTGGCGCTGTGGCACAGTGGGTTAATGCCCTGGCCTCAAGCGTTGGCATCCCATATGGGCACAGGTTTAAGACCCGGCTGCTCCTCTTCTAATCAGTTCTCTGCTATGGCCTGGGAAAGCAGTAAAGGATGGCCCAAGTCCTTGGGCCCCTGCACCCACGTGGGAGACCTGGAGGAAGCTCCTAGCTCCTGCCTCTCGATCGGCACAGCTCCGGCTGTTGCGGCCAATTGGAGAGTGAACCAGAGGATAGAAGACCTCTCTCTCTTTCTCTCTGCCTCTCCTCTCTCTGTATGTAACTCTGACTTTCAAGTAAATAAATAAATCTTTAAAAAAAAAGTGAAAATGCTAAAAGGAACACTGAAAAAATATATCCAATTGTTAAGATCAATCATAATTCAGTGAAATGATTTCTATATTTTTCTGAATTTTGAAATACGAACATAAATAACTTCTATAATCAAGAAAAATAATAAATGACCTAAAAACCTAACACTGAAAGAAATAATTAATAA